AATTGTAGACGATTTTAAACATTTGTCTGTAAATGCTTCATAGATCACACTAGAGCTGTGATGTTGTTTTAAAGGCAAAATGGACACTTAGGCTAATTTATTTTTCAGGTTGTTGATAAATATTTGAAGAAATCACAGCTCTTTAGTAGATGTTTCTAAAAAAAATTAGTTTATTTGTACGTTTCTATTGCTGGTGCGATCGCTGTCAAGTCAAGTACACGAAACTGAGGCTAACACAATGTGGCTTTATGTAATTTGAATAATGGTCTGCTAATGAACAGGTTTATAAAATTTATAATCACTTGTTGGAAATCATTTGAGGAAATGGTAATTACAAATTTTACAGAGTGGTAACTGGGTGTTTGTTAACAGAGGGTTCATTAGGTTTTTCTAATTCTTATATCCTCTCTTAACCAGTACATGAATTTACGCATGAAAATGGCCATCATTTTTGCGTCAAAAATGTCACCGTACTAAAACATGAACCATATATTTAGCGGAAAAGTATATAAATTAGCGTTATAACCATGTAATCCATCAAAAATTAGACACTCTAAAATACTTCCTAATTGAAATATATACCATATGCACAACTAACAACATTGACGAAAAAATTACATACTTAAGCCAATCCTTTACGAACCAATTCCCTTCCAAAATAGTTATATAAACTGATGATGAATTCTTCCAAACACAGACAAGACAATATTAACAGACTCGTAAATCCACCGAACCTAATTATAAGCACCATCCCTTTTGTAGAAAATGTTATCACACAACCTTACGGAAACCTTGAAATGTGGATAAGAGATCATGACTATGACATAATTATATTCTTGTTCGCTTTAAGGAATAAAATCAAACATGCTAAGTAAACTATACAACGAACCTAACCTTCCAGGAAACAATGCAACAACTATTGGCTTTTTACATAGAGGACACAAATAAAACAAACACATAAGAGAACACCGACAATCTTTTCGCTATATGTAGACAATATTTTGTGTGGTCTGAAAAAAAAGGAACATAACATTTACATAATATCACAATAAATTTTCCAAATGTAAACATTAGAACGGCCTCTCCGTCCCCCCCCCCCCCAAAAAAAAGTTTCAACACAAAAATTCCCAGGAAAAACAAATACCAAAACGATAGTTTTCTGTGTAAGGACCTTGTGTTGTTCATAGACATGTATACAAACACACACATATGTTTTTTCATACACATATATAGCTGTATACATGTATCACTATTATATATTGTCACACACACTAGTTGCTTAAAACAGACTACTTTTGGCTACTTCACAAATTACTTTAGCATATATTAACCTTCTTGGGTTAATTCACGCAGACTACATCTCTATAGAGGAGATACAGTAATGTTCTACAACCTAGAAGCCATCATACTCAACTCGTTTTGTCAAGCATCATGAAATAACTAACTACTGGCAGAACTGAGCAAAACTGTGATTCTTCACCTAAAATTTTCATCAGTAAAATGTGTGTTGTTGCTACAACAAACCATTCCAACTTAATATAATCAACCAGTACCAGTCAAATATCTTGGTATCCCTTCAATGGTGACTTGCCCGAATGTCGGAGCTGTTTTTCACCTCTAATTCCGGTATTTTCTCATCTGGATCACGGTAAATAGCCACATAAGTTCTTTCATATTTTTCGTTCCCAAGCTGTTTTATCATAGCGCCTCTTCTAGCATTTCAGAAGTTTGATATCGTCATACAGTATCAAACATACACACAACATGTAAATGCTGATCGGGTGTCTCACTGTATGGTGAGACTGTCCACTGTCATAACCCTGTACACTGTGTGAGAGTTGAAATAATTTCTACTGTAGCGACATCAAGCCATACAGTAGGCGATTCCATTAGTGGATGGATGTCACAATTGACATCTTTGGAACTCTAGAAAGAGCAACCAAAAGTCTCGGGTCTAGTAGAGGCACTCCTTCCCGTGAAACATAGCACGGATATACATAAACTGTGGCACTTGTTTAAACAATCACGAATGTAGGAATACGTGCTGTACCAATATTATCAACCATCCAACCATAGTTTTCAGCCTATGTTGCAGTTAATGGTCCCCAAAGTTTTAAGGCATACAATTATTCTGCCTTTGGATAACCCAAAGACTAGGGGCGCCAATGTGTTACATTTGTGTTATCATTCAACAGTGATTCTACTGGCTGCATTCGAGTTGAGGTATTCAGCACTGGTGCCAACTTTGCTACCCAAGTTTGTTAATCTTGACTGAACCAAACGTTACAACCACTTACTGTATCTCGTGATGCCATACAGAGCAATTGAACAGAGATCAACAGTTTACTAAACATGCTCATGTTTGGGTGGGTGGTATTGTTCTCTGCAGACATGGTGTGCATGGTTCACCATTTAGAGTGGGAATCCCACAGTATACAGAAGAATATTTGGACTAGTTAAGGTCTTTTTTAGATGACACACACGAGTTTGCACGTCAACAGCTAGGAAAGGATGCCATACGAAATAATCCAGAATATTATAATTTTTCTTTATCTTTAAGTATCTGAATTTAGGTGCCATGAGTGTGTGACTAGCATACCTGATTACAACTCTAATCCAATTTCACTATCGTTGGTTTTAGTACCTATATAAATATAATAGTACTTTCTGTTGTATGTCCATGTAACTACTTTGCAGGATGTGGATGGATATTCACTAAAATTGGTATGTAGGTTCATTACGTCCATGCGGGGGTATATACAAATTTTCAATTCTGCGTTTGGTGGTTTTTATGGGCGTTTTTTACAATTGCATATAAGGGACGCAACTTTTTCATGTCTTAAGATAATCTTTCATTAATTATGAATTTACATAACTTCCGTCCAGGGGACGGATACTCCAGCTAGTCTAACAATAATTCGTTATCTTGTCCAAAATATGCAATCTGTTGGATTTCTACTGCAGGAAGTTTTAGAGATCATTATATCTGTTCACCTTCCTCGCTTCATCCAAAGGGCATCTCAGTTTTAATGAAAACAGATAATGGTTCTGCTATTTTAGAGAAGTTGGCCACAAACCATCGGTAATATGATGCAAAACAAATGAAATTGCAAACTTCTCATTTGATCACAGTTTGAGGCCTTTTTCTCTCCGATACTGTCTTAGCAGAGTCTGTGGAGATTTCATCTCTACTTATTATAAGACGAAGATATTCCACTTATGTGTGCATGAGCACATATTTTCCTGTTTTCAATTTTAAAATCGCTTTCTTTATCTGCGGAATACCATTATCATCCACAGATTCAAAGTGGAAACAATACCTGAACATTATTGACATAGACTAGGCATCTATCCCATTGCAATCTTATCAACATAAATTTCATTAGCCTCTCAAAAATGGCGGTTGCATAACACAGGCTAAACAACTAGTTTCACTCAGTGACTGACTCTCTCTCTCGGTCATTCGTCCTTCTAATTCTTAAAAAAATGTAATTTTCTTGAATTAAAAAGCTTTTTAAAAATATTGTAGAAGAGTTCCAGTACAGAGCAGTACACACTTTAGCAGGTATAGCAAACTCTACGATTAAGAAGCTTTGCACTCATGGCACCAATATTTTCTTCTACCTATCCACTCTGTGGTAAATCCATGCGAAAATGAATTAACTTTACAGCTATATTGACAGAAATATTAAATCTCTTACTACCTAAATTGGTATAAAAGGGAGTAACAAGACTGGACACAAAGTAATACACAATGCAAATTTTTACTGAAACGCTGAGCACGTAGTATGTGTACTTGCATGATAATGCAACAGCCTGTCATTTCTAATGGGTACTCGGTGATTATCCTTCAAAGTTCTGTTTCAGACTGTTGAAATGCATAATTTCTTAGACACCTCGCAATTATCCAGAGTGACTAGCGTTACATGTGACAAATCATACTCATTACAACATAGGTGGGGCTGTAACCTCGAAATTTCCCCGAACTACCATTGAATAACACTGCCATTTGCACCCTCGTACAACATACGGTAATGAGAAATATCTTTCGTGAATAGAGCAGGTATTATCTCCAAAAAGAACAAAAGCAGCTACAACAAGATCAATTTATCGGCTTTCTTGACCACATGTTATGTGAAACTTGCGCATATACATATCAAAGAATAATTTCAGAATAAATACTATAATATTTTATACGAAGATAGAAACGCATGATATATTGATATATATTTTATATAAGAGTTCTTGAACCAACATGTTTTTCTGACATCATAAAAACAGTTTTTATATTTTAAGAGTGGAGATAATTGAGCTTCTATAGATCTCGCACCTGGAGGAGGCTCATGGTCAACAATTTGTACTTTGTTTAAAATAAAGAAGTAAATGAAAAATAATTTCTTTATTTTTATATCCTGACAGTGTATACCTTTAAATACCTCCCGTAGTTAGGATGATAGACTCGCAATTTGTGAATTGCGGGCTCGAATCCCTTCCTCTGTCCGTGCTCGCCCATTTAGCCACGAGGACGTTATAATTTAACGGTAAATTCCATTATCCGATTAGAGTAGCCCACGAGTTGGTGACGGGTGGTTTTGTTTGTTTGTTTGTTTTTGGAATTTCGCGCAAAGCTACACGAGGGCTATCTGCGCTATGTGACGGGTGGTGTTGAATAGTTGTATTTCCTCTCGTCTTGATTTGATTTGGTTATCACTTCTAAATTAGACTAGCTCTCGTGTAGCATTCCGCGAAATATACAAACAAACATTAAATCTCTATTATACATTTATGTACTTAATGTAGAAATGCGTTTGAAGAAAATTAATACTTTATAATATTTCGAATACATCAGTAATTTCATTTCACACCACCTTTTGTATATTTTTACCTGTGAATAATATTTAAAATAATTATGTCGAAGTTGTATTTAAAAGTTTACTTTACAAACACACACAGAAACATAGAAAAACTTAAACTGCGGAAATAGGAGTGTCGCTACTGTGGACCATTGTTTACAACATGGCGTCCTTACGTGAAAGAGCTTTATCTACGAAAACGTTAGTGTGTCTTCTTCAAGCGCTTCAAGAAAGAGAAACAACCGTGGAACTACGAAATGAAGTATCGATTTTAGGAAGAATAGAAATAGTTGATGGGTTAGTATTATATTATGCGATATTATCGGTGAGTAATGAGTATAATGGGTAAAATTTGTGAAGTTTTGAAAAACTAAACATTATTCATTTATTGAGTGCATTTTCTGGAACTTAAGTTAGGTCTAACGATTTTACTAATAAACTAAACTTTTAGACCTAGTGTTATAAAGCTGTAATTTTTTAAAGCCTAAGGGTCGTTAAGATGTGCTTGTGGGGTACATCATCTATACATTTTGACAAGTGAAGTAAATTGTAGATGCGTGCTAAACTAAAAGTAAAAATATTAAAAAGACAGAAGTGTATAGTCTAGTGTGAATATAATCTTTTGTACTACTAGTAGTAATAATATGGTAGTCAGGAACGTCGAGAGCCAGCACGGGCCCCGGGGCACAGATCCTTGCCGGGCCCTCTTTCTCTCTTTTTTTAACATTTTCAAGAATTTATTAAAAGAAGATCCTAAATTAGAACAGCAACGAGCTCATAAACCAGACAAAATCATAGCAGCAGCCGTTTTTACCTCGCAGTATAAGTGTAAAAACATTAATAAAGTAACAACAAATATCTATTAAATCTATAAAGTAACAAATACATATTAATTATTACTCAAATTATTATTTCAGTCGTTCTTAATGTATCAAGCATCTATATCCAAAGAAAAGCCAAAAACTATGGTTTTTATCATTCAATGAAGATATAGCTTTAAGATACTTTGCAGGCTTTATGGCATAACCAGGTTTCATTCACCTGGGCAGTTGGCCCCTTGTCACAAAAGCAATAGATTACAGCAAGGACCTATTAGAAATTTCCTGCAGAGTTATTGTAAAGAGCAGGATCATTGAGGTCTTGAAATTCTATAATGTATTATTTTATAGTTTTTTTACTCTGTTAAGATATAAATAACAATATATCAAATATATACATAAAAACAAGGATTTGTAGTACTTGCTGCGCACTTGGAGCTCTCTTACACTCAAGTAAAAGTAGAAGACATTCTTGTATAAACCTTGTTGAATCTCACAAATTTGGATGCCCACAAAAGGAATCAATGTAGCTTTCAAATATGCACTTTGGAACACACAAAGTTAATGGTTACCAGTCACTATAATAAAATGTCCCAAAAAATACTACAAATATGCACTTTGGAACACACAAAGTTAATGATTACCAGTCACTATAATCAAATGTCTCAAAAATACTATAAATATGCACTTTGGAACACACAAAGTTAATGATTACCAGTCACTATAATCTAGTATTTTTGAGACATTTTTAAATATGCACTTTGGAACACACAAAGTTAATGATTACCAGTCACTATAATCAAATCTCCCAAAAATACTACAAATATGCACTTTGGAACACATAAAGTTAATGATTACCAGTCACTATAATCAAATGTCTCAAAAATACTATAAATATGCACTTTGGAACACAAAGTTAATGATTACCAGTCACTATAATCAAATGTCTCAAAAATACTACAAATATGCACTTTGGAACACATAGTTAATGATTACCAGTCACTATAATCAAATGTCCAAAAAATACTCCAAAAA